TGCAGCTCCGGGCCAAGCGCCCGTCCGCGCTTTGCCGCACCTCTCTGTGCTCGCAGCCTCGGGAAGATGGAAATGTCTGCCTCGGGTGACCAGGTTCCCGGCTTGGGCGGTGGTTCCAGCTCCCAGTGCGTGATCCGACGGCGGAGCGCTGGCCCCAAGGAAAAAGCTCACACATCCAATGAAAACAATAATTTATTTAAATAATCTCTTCATATTGTAAAATCAACATTAAGAGCATGTTGTTTTCATAATAAATAACCCCAAAATACCTTTCCTTTAAAGAACAACGACTTTATAGGATAAAACAAACCCAAATCAGTAGCTTCACTTAACTGAGAACAAAAACATTTTTTTTGAAAGGGAAAAAATACAACAAGAAGTGGCTGAGGTCACTGCTAGAGGACAGTTTTCACAACTGGAGGCTTACCAAAAAAAGTCCGCAAAGATGGATTTATATACAAACAAATCAGTGGGAAAATCTGCACAGACATCTTTATTTACAAACTCCTGAATAGGTCTTAAAAAAGATAATTTAAACACGTGTTGTTTTGTTTTGTGTTTTTTGCAATGTCCACATATTAAAAAATCATTTTCCCCCAACATCAAAATGAGGTCATCCGCAAAGGCACCTAAACTTTTAAAAAAATAAAAATAAAAAAACTCCACTGGTGATTGACGGGGCGGCTGAATGAGTTGTCCAGGAGCTGCGCTAAGGCCAGGAAGGGGGGTTCCGAGGGCGGCCAGCCGCAGGGCCGGGTGGGAGTGGAGGGGGGTGGAAGCGGCGGGGTGGCCCGGGTCAAAGGGGTAGTGGGGGCGGGCGGGCTGGCAGGACCCCGGGAGGTCAATAGCCCGAGCGGCGGGAGCTGCGCCTGGGGGCGGGCGAGGAGAAAGGAACCTCAGAGCTCCCGGACGCCTCGCGGGCGGGGCAGGCCCTCTCCAGCTCTCAGCTCGCGGCCCCGGGCGACAGCGGCGCCGGCCGGACTCGCCTGCCAGGGAGGGGGGAGGGGGGTTGGCAAGGCTCTCCGCGGCCAAGGCCCGGGGCTCAGGTCGGCCGTGCGGCCGCGGCTGGTGTCCTTTGCCACGCCTCTGCTGTCCGGCTCCCCGCACGAGAAAGGAGCCCACGTAGCATCCGCAGGCGCCCAGT